CCCCAAAACCCCAAAACCCCAAAACCCCAAAACCCCAAAACCCCATATTATAGTGAAGGTATTGAACTATCTGAAATTTCTCCAACCCAGAATTTATTTCAGGCTATTTAAAATATGTCATCAAGATGGCATAATACGAGACGAGGAAATTTTAGAGATAATTTATACATTAATTTAAAATGTCATTTTAGTAGCCTGGATATAATCTTTTTGTCTAACACTCAGTTTGCCTTCCTTTCTTAGACATTGGATCCTCCTTGGTATAGGTAAAGTCCTCAAACATTTGGTTATTCATGTTGCCTTTCTTAAGATCATTATCATCCAAAGTACAGCTGACAATGTTCTCGTCTAGATATTTCGAGTCAATATGCTTGACATCTTTCTCAGATTTGAGCCTAGGATTGTAAGGAGGTTTGACTTCTCTTCTCTCTAGTGCATCCCAATCAATTGTTTCAAAGTACTCATGATTTTTAATATCTTCGACTCCATTGGCCCCTAGTCTCATAGTGGGGTCTCTTTCTAGTAGTCCTAAGATAAAGCTCCTAGCAGTCTCATCAGGGATCTATAATAAAGTTTAGTTACATTTTTGATTTAGAAGCTTACCCTCTTTTTCGAGACTTGGATTTTATTGTGAACAATATAAACTCTGACCTCACTATTCTTATTAGTGGGATAAGGTAATTTCCCAGTCAGCATTCTGTAAAGAATGATCCCCATCGACCACCAATCGACAGTGTGGTTATAACTCATCCCTGAAATAGTCTCAGGAGCGATATATTTGATTGTTCCACAAATAGTGTGGCTCTGGTCTTGGCTGAAATCTGCCTTGGAAAGACCAAAATCCGTCAATTTGATGTGACCTTCACTATCAAGCATGATATTTTGAGGCTTTAGGTCACGGTATACTATTCCTTTCTTATGTAAGTGATTGATAGCTAGTACTAGCTCAGCTGTATAAAACCTTGCTCTATTTTCATTGAACTTTCCATAATTCATGATGTGTGTATAAAGGTCACCTCCATTCAAGAAATCAAGAATGAAGAACAACTTTTTCTTGGTTTGGAAGGAGTAGTGCAACGTCACTATATATGGATGTCTGATCTGCATGATAATGTCCCTTTCGGTCAAGACACGTTCTTTGCCTCTCTCATCGGTAATGGCTCCCTTCTTAAGGACTTTCATTGCAAAGACTTTGCCTGTTGTTTTTTCCTCAACCATGAAAACTTTACCATAAGAGCCTCTTCCGATAACTTTGAGGGTGTTAAATGACTCCAGGCTGGCTGCCTTGTATGTAGAGCTTCTCTTATCAATAGATTTGTCTGGAGAGTAATCACTAGAGAGTGCAGAACTGCTCCTATCAGTGTCCTGTGTGGTGGTGACCATTCTTTTCATTTGAACCTTCTTATTGACAGGAGGGTTGGCACCATAGCCTCCCTGATTCTTATCATTTGAGGTACATCAATTCCCCATTAGAGTATTATTTATTAAAGTTATATAATTTCTACTCCAAATTTCTTACTTGGGGTTTTGGGGTTTTGGGGTTTTGGGGTTTTGGGGTTTTGGGG